TGGTGGGAGTTGTTTACACTGTGATAGACAGTTAGCTTAACTACTTTTTGTGCATCGTTGTGTTGAACTTACAAGCTCACAATCACCCTACAGGGCACGAGGCATCACTCTCCCCATTTTTAAGATAAGAAGATGAGCTTTGGAAAGGTCCCTCAACCCGTCCAGGCTGGAAACAGAACTGTCTGATTCTAGAACTCCTTCAGCCATGCGCTGTCATCCCATCTCCTCCCTGGTCTTAAAATCAAGGATTATTAAGAAACTATCTGATAACGGCCCTAATGGCAGCAAAAGAATGACCTCAGATTATTCTAAAATATCCTTTTAAGAAAATTAAACTTTCCGATGTTTAGTCACGCCTTCGGGCAATGCATATTTATTAAGTGACTACTGCTGTGTGCCAAGGACACTGCCAGGTTCTGGGGCGGGACAGACGGAGAAGCCTTGGGCCCCAGTCCTTGGTGATCGGGAGAGACACACACGCAAGTGGAAACCATCACCCAGAGGGCTGTGCGCCATTCTTGGGGAGCCCAGGGCGCTGTGGGCATGCAGAAAGGGGCTATATCCCCCCTCCTCCGAAAACGTCAGACCCACGACACGAACTCAGGCAGCACAGGCTCACAGCGCTCGGCGGGGCTGATCGCGAGCTGAGGTCCGTCCAGGTGTCTGTCCGGCGTCACACTGCCCTAGTCTCATTTGTCATTTCCAGCTGTGGGAAACGTCAGTCTAGCTCTTTTCCAGATAAACAAACAAACGAACGAACAAACAAAAACTCTGTGTGTGTTAAGAATTAAAAACTGTGAAAATTCTCTGTTTTCAGGCATTTCATTTTCTCATCTCTTGAGCGTCTCTCGCAGTTCTCTCTCTATGCATCACATTCCTTTTAAGTTACGGAGCCCACAGTTAGAATCGGTCCCCTTAAAGGCATCGCGACACTGATGGGATCATATGAGAGCCCGTGTCCTGCGAGGCTCCTCTTGTTTACCCATCCGGGGTCACGTGGGCAGAGTTCTCTTTGCACAAGAAATTCTCGAATAACGAACGTACGTACCTTCGATGTCCCTCCAAGTCCCTTAAATCACACCAAGCACGATGCTGTTCCCGTTTCTCTTAAATCACACTCCTCCAACTTTTGAACTTCTCCAGTTTTCAGAACTGTCCACGTGGTATAGGTTTTCGGTTCACTTTTAAGCAAATTAATAGTTCAGGAGAAGAAACTAGCAAAAGCAAACACACACAAATAAACTGCAGGTTCTCGTTAAATGACTCACGAATTCCAGTGTAAATACTTCTTATTTACAGTAAACAACCAAAAACAATTGTCTGTTTACACTAAAAATACCTGCCCTACCTGATGGACATCGCATTGTGTGCTGTCAAAAAAACAAGAATGCTTTATAGGAGTTCGTGTTTTTTAAAGGTTGGGAAACTATTTTGAAAAATAATTGAATAATCATTCTGACTCTCAGCAAAATATTTCAGGGGCTGTCACAGTTGCAACAGTTGGGTGGAAATATAGAAACATCTCTTAAGATTCATCTCTGATTTATAACTGTACTTCGCTGAAACTCCTACTAAAAATTAAAAAAAAGAAAAAACACAATGATAAAAGTCTTTGTAATAGTTGATGCTTTTGTTTGTCACTTTGGTGCTGGGCATAGAAAAACACATTGGATTTGTTGCGGCTGACAGATACATAGATAATAGACTAGATAAATGGATAGGGAGAAATATAGATACTAGTAGCTAAACGTTCTGTAGTCTAGATCTTTTTCTAAGTGCTTTCCATATATCATATTATTTTATCCTCACAGCTCGATTTCTTACTAGTTGAGGAATCAGGAACAGAGAAGTTAAGTAACTCCCTCAAGGATGCATAGCAGATACATGACAGAATTAGGCTCAAAAGCAGCACCGACCAGCTCAAAGGTAATATGAGCCACGTATGTAATTTTGAACTTTCTAGTTGCCACATTAAAAAAAGCAAAGAGAATTGGATGAAATGAATCCTTCTACGTTTATTTCATCTCATGCATCTGAAACATTACCTCAACGTGCAATTGATAAAAATAATTAATACGATATTTTGAAGGTTCTTTTACGCATACTACGTGTTCGAAATGCAGTGTGTAATTACACTCATCGTACATCTCATGTTGGACTCGCCGGTCAAGTTCAAGACCTCAGCGGGCAGGTACGGCAAGTAGCCAGTGGGTACCCTTTGGCACAAACAGCTCTAGAATCCAGACGCTTTTGATGATTATTATTATTTTTGGGAGGCTTGGCATAGAGCAGTGGCAGGCTTCCACGGACCAATGTTTCAGATCGGGTGAATGGATTTAATTCACATAAATATATGTTGGTTCTACATAACGATGCAAGTGTTTCACACCTGCTTTGACTTCGGGGGGAGCACAGCGCAAGCTGGCAGTGCCACCTGCCTTGGAGGAGACCTGGAACCCATCTTATGCAGATACTCCCGGCCGTCCCCCGGCTGCCCACGTGCCCAGGCTCCACCCTGTGACATCAGGGCCCCTCCTGGCCCCCTCTTCACTGCTCACCCCCGGCCCCCGCCCGCCCTCCAACCAGCCCTTCCTTCTCTGACGAGCCCAGCTCCTGTGGCTTCGAGTACTTCTAACGCCCTTGCACACGCTTCTGTGCTAATGCGCCACATCCGCTGTGGCCAGGTGCTCCTTTGGCCAAGGGGAGATGACATCCTCGGAGCCCGGACAGTGTGCATGGGGACAGGACTCGCCCCGGGGAGAAGGCTGCAGGGGCCATTCTTTCTCTAGGTCTGGCTCTCGGCATGTGCTCATTGGCGCCTCACCTCCCTTTTATGGAGGTTTCCGGAACATTCTCCAGGGTCACCAATGGATAGCTCCAAGGGTGTCCCTTCTTCCCCTCCCCCACATGCCCACGAAGGAAGAAGCGGGTGAAAGGAACATTTGCAGCCGTCCTAGAAGATTAAAAAACAAAAGCCAAAAAATAAAAAAAAACCTCCCAGAGGGTGGTGGGGGCGGGGTGGGGAGAATAAGGAACCCTCACCACGGCCTCCTGGTGGGGGCGGTCACGGGCGGCCGGCATGCAAAGCCGTCTCGGTTCACTGTGAGACGGCTGGGAAACACCATCTTCCCCCCCGTCTTGTGATGTCCTCGGTCCCCCAGGAGCAACTTCTATGCCGCCCCCGGACACGGGCGTCCCAGCCTCGTCACTGCCCCAACCGGTGTTCCAGCCCCGCGGGGTCCCACTTATTCCACCCCGAGGAACCTCCTCAGAGGCGCCACGTTTTCAGACCCCATCTCAGGCTCACCTGCCGCGTTCTCTCGTGGGGTGGCACGCGGGCAGGAGCAGAGAACTCCGGTGGCTGTTGGTGACAGGCGTCTACAAAACGGTCTGGACACACTGACCGCCGCCAGTTGTCCCTTCTCCTGCCACACGTCAATCATCCGACTTACCTACAGATGCTCGTTCTTTTCCATGCGAATCCCTCAGTGATCTGCTTCTAAATATCCCCACGGCGGGACGGAGTTCCCGGCGGGACGCACACGAAGGTCTGCGTGAGGTCCTCGTCCCGATCTGGCTTCTCAAGAGCCAAACGACCCAAACACGTGACCTGTGTTCTCTGCATCTCAGCTTCTTCACCTTCGAAGCGGGCGGATGGATGCCTGTCGCACCTACTCCACGGTGTCATCGTGAGACTCGACTCAGGCGGCGCGCGAGGAGGTGTCGGGCACGGCGCCGTGCACTTCACCTGGAAGAAAGTGTCGGCATAGTTTTCGTGTACGTGTCCGAATGCCCACTGTGCGCAAAGCACCGCTCCAAGCACAACCACGGGTGTGGGGGCCAGGTAACACTCAGGCGGGGGACGCTCGGGCAGGTGACACTCGGCCGAGGCACACATAAAGTCCTGGAAGGGTATCGACGGAGAAGAGGTCGGTCAGGTCTGGGAGGATCTGGAAAGTTCCATCCTTTAAAGTCCACATGCGAAGTGGGGGAGGGGTTGAATGATTTATTTTCTAGGCAAATAAGAGAGAACTTTTCCAGGCGGAGGGATGAGCCTGGATACAGGCGCGGGTGACGGTTTCTGGTGCCGAAGAGAAGTGAACGGTGTGGCGAACCAGCCCGGGGAGAGAGGGGAGAAACTCACAGGATGAGAGGAACGGGGACCCCCCGCCCCCCACCATCCAGTGACAGGGGTTTTACACATTTACCGCTCAGCCCCGGCGAACGCGCGCAGCGTGATGGGCTCGCGCCCCGTAGGCGCGTCTGGACTTTTGTTTTCCTTTAAGATGGAAGTTTACAGTTTTGAAGTGACCTGGAAGCTCCAGGCCTCCAGGACCCCGGGAATCGACCTGCGTGTCCCGGCTGCTCAGATTCAAGGGCTTAAGCAACATGGGCGAAGAGGAAGGAGCACATGATGCGCTGAACTGTGCAGAGGCGATGACGGCACGTATCAGAAGAGGAAGTCTGAGGAGAAACGAAACTGAGAAAAGGAGAAATTAAAAGACATGTACACTGAACGCTGGCCGAATTTATAATTATAGCTATTCAAAACGTCCAACGTTAAACTCTTTTTCGAGTTAAGGACAGACATAAATCAGAGATGTTTTACTGGGTTCTTTTAATATCCAACCACTAGAGCTTTTCCAGACTTTGTTTTTAAGGTTTTTTTTCATTTTTCAGTAACGTTTGGTTTGCATTTTGCACTAAGACAAAAGAAATAAGAAAGTATTTCTAAAAAAGAGTCAAAGGGCAGAGGCCTAAAGATACAGACTGTGATTCCTACACTTCCTTTTTTCACAAAGTTGCTATGAGTAATATGCCCATTTCTCTTCCTCAACTGAAAAACAAAATCCCTTCTACTCTTTGGAATTTTGATAAAAATGGATAACCGCATGCTCAATTTGTCAATGAAAATAATAATAAATAATAATGACACCATATAATACGATAATAAGTAAGAGTATTGTCAAATTACGTTTCTTGCATAGTGACACATAGAAATCATCGACGTTAGCATTCCGTTAAAACGGACACCAAAAATGATTTCTACCACTCAAACTAAAGAAAAGTGTATTATTTGGTTGAATTTCTAGGTGGCAGAAAAAACTTTCGTTAAATAAAGGGAGAGAAGTGATGTGTGCGACCTTAAAGAAAATATGATGAAAAGTTCCTGCTGTTGGAACATTCACTGCGAGTTACACGTGTGTAGAAAGAGCTCGACAACCCTGTGTTAGTGGCGACGGTCGCCGGGCGAGGCCTCTGTCCTACTGAACCTCGAGGTCATTTAGAAGCTGGCGCTGCTGCTGGATTCTGATCAGAGTCTGACAGCTCCGTCAGACCAGGATTTAACCTGGTCGTTGCTGGGCGCTGAGTGTTTGAATTCGCCCTCGCGCCGATCAGTCCCAACGTGACTCATCGATGCACGTGGCTGCCGCGGCGGGAGAAGGTGCCGAACATCTTCTGGATTTCGCAGAATCCGTCTTCTCTGTTCTCAGTGAATGTTCGGATGTGTGATGTCCTCTAAGCTGACTTGAACGACATGCACGTTCATATTATACTGTTTGTGAAAACTGATTAGGATGAGGGGAAAAAAAGCCTCGCCCAGTGACGGATCTGCTTTGGGAGGGATCGCCTGGATGTGTAATGTCCTCTAAGATGACTTGAACGACATGCACGTTCATAATATATTGTTTGTGAAAACTGATTAGGGAGGAAAAAAAAAGCTTCGCCCAGTGACGGATCTGCTTTGGGAGGGATCGCCGTGTGCTGGGGAAAACGGAAGCTTCTGCCGACGAGCATCTGATTCAGGACCTCGTCCAAATCACGGCGACGTCGCGTCTCTCCGAGCTTTTAGGAGACTTGGCATCTTTCGACAGCAGGAGGAAGAACCATCTCCCCCAAGCACCCCCACCTGACCCCTCCCAGCCACCTCCTTCCGACCGACTCAACTTTCTCCTATAACTCAAGACTGGGCCTCTCTCGGGAGCGCGTGCAGGAGGTAGTCAATAAATGCTGCCGGCACGAGATTCGAGCAAGTGCCTCGTAACGGTGTCTGCCTCCCCGTGCACGGAAGTCGCCGATGGCCTCCGTCCCTTCGGTGAGTGCAAAGCGCAGCGAGGCCCAGGGCGGGCGGGGCCGGAGCCGGGGAGGCCTCCCGACACCTGCTCCTGCTGGCCGCCCCCTGCGTCTGTTCCCCGGGCCATTCCTGGTGCGGTAATTACTGTAACGATGCAACGAACATCCAGTTTTATGAGCCGATTCCGGATGAATGAAAACGAAAAGCAAAGCCGCTCCTCTCAGGAAGATCCACTCGAGGTGACAGACACGCAGCAGGGTGACCCAGAGGTGACGGACACGCAGCGGGGTGACCCAGGTCCGGGGGTGAGGCAGCTCCCATCCGTTAGGAGAAGCGACTGCTGAAGCCTTATGGCATGTCCCCCCACACTGCTTTACGGCCGTCTCTACATCCGGGCCCGTGTTTGCAGAAACCGAACCTGGTTTTTATGGGGCGGGGCGGGGGGGGCACTAGAGGTGCATTGTGGGAAAGCGATGGTGTCTGAGACTCCAATCTGCAGATTATTTCAGGGAATAACAAACAAACAAACAAACAAACAACAAAACGACCCTGGCCGTTAAGTCCAAAGATTACCTTTTCATTTCAAATACAAATTTCAGGTAGGTAGAAATCACGTTTTCTCATTCTCCGCTGTGGCAGGGCTCCCATTTGTCCCATCACTGCCGGATCGAACCGGATCGGGACAGGTGGATCTCACTGACCTACTTGAGGACAGCGCCCACCGTGAGAACCGAGGGATGTAAAACGTGTATTTAGATGATTTTAATTGGACCTGTGAACCTACGGTTGTCATTTCCCTCAACACGGGGTCGTCACCACGGCAGGACCTCTGCAGGACTGCGGCACAGGGCACGACTTGGGGGCGATGCGCGCCCCGAGAAACGCTTTCATGCCTGTCCCCGGAGGCCGAGGGCGGAAAGGAAGAGCTCTCGAGCCCACCTCCCGTGCACAAAGCCAGGAAGTCGCCTCCCTGGCGGATGGTAAATAAGCCTGTCCCACGCAGGTAACCGAATCACTAGAAACGAAGAAAGAGAAAGATCTAAAACCAGAGCCGCGTAGACAAGGACGAAGCATATGGCCTTACGACCTGGAAGGAAAGGTCAGTACACAAGTCGATGCTTTTTGGAAAGAAGAGGGAACAAAGTTAATTGTCCAAAAGACGCCGACCTCGTGTTTTTTTAAGCAGACTCCATGCCCCACTGACGCCTCCTAATTTCACAGAGAAGAGCTGAAGCTGGCAGGGGCATCGGGGCCCCAGCTCGCCGCGTCAACGGACCTGTTTTGCTGGACTCCACCCTTGGGCTTTCCTTGGGGCCCAGCTCTCTGGCCAATCAGGCCATTTGGGGACAAACAGCTGTGTTTGGAGCTCACTGTTGACACCACAACCTGAGTTATGTGGTGCTTTCTGTGAGGATAAACAGACCTGTCCCTTTCCTGATTTCACAGAAGCTGCTGGACTTGCAACGAGTGAGCCGTCATGGCCAGCCAGTCCCAGGGGATCCACCAGCTCCTTCAGGCAGAGAAAAGGGCCAAGGACAAGCTGGAGGACGCCAAGAAAAGTAAGTCTCCATGCTCTCTGACCTGCGAGGGGTTTGTCCCAGAGTGGACGAGGCAGTGCCCGGAGCTGAGCACGGAGCTCAGTGGCAGGCCACGTCTGCTTCAAAGCCCAGTCTGCTCTCTCCCTGCGACCTTGGCCAGTTCGTGGAAACTATCCGGTCATATGTCCCCCCACCATTACCGGGAGGGGACAGAGTTCCCTAACTCGGACCCATCCCTTTGAGAGTCCATGTATGAAACAAAGTGATAAGAAGTATTGAAGTTATGGGGACATAGGCTTAAGCCTTGCCTGCCACTTCCCTAATGCCGCCACACCCCAGTGTCTCAACACTGTGACCCGGTTCAGAGATAAGCAACTTCCAGAATGATCTGCTCGCTGGTGAGTGAGCATGAGCGAGTTACTTGTCCTCTGTAAGCATCCGTTCCTGTTTCTGTTAAATTGCGACAGTGACGGTGAGCAGCTCTTCGTCGTCCCTCTCTTGATGGCATTTCATTGCCGATGCTTTAAAAATATGTCCATTTTATTCTCGTTTTCTAACTTCCTGTTTGTTTTGTCCCGCATCCGCGTCCTCACACACGGAACGTTCTCGATAAACTTCAACCGCCTTCTTATTCTCTTCGATATCCACGCGCGCCCAGCATTCCCATTTTGTGCACGTAGCAGCTGAGAGGCCGTAATTTGCCAAAGGTCGTAATTTTGAACAATAGAAAAGATCACGTGCTTACCCTTAGTTAATCCTCACGTGAACCCTCTTTGCAAAGGGGAAAATGACACTCGGAGAAACGATGCGACTTGCCCAAGTCCTCGCGGGGGGTAAGTGCTAGACTCAGGACTTGCGTGGGGCCTGATACCCACCCCGAGATCTTAACAGCCTCACCGCACAAAACGTGCGTCATTTCTGTAACGTCAGCCAACAGCGCAGACCTGCAGCTCCTACGCCGTGGCTTGGGCCAGCACCTGTGTCTTCCCTTTGTCCCGTGTCCTAGCACGACTTAATCTATGATAACGTGCCGTTTACATCTTCCTCATTAGATTCTGAGCCGAGCGAGGCAGGGGCCACGTCTTGACACGTGGCTCTTGTTACTCTTTGCGTGAGCGCGGTGACTGGGCCGGAGCAGGGACGGACACAGCTCATTTGACCGTGCTGAGCGGGCTGTGGGGACAGTACGTCGCGGCGCCAGGCAGGATGTCAGGAGGGAGGCCGTCTCGTCTCCCGAGGTTTCCCATTTTCCTTCCCGAACGCCCAGCAGCGTGGGCACCAACCACCACAGGGGCGGCTCCACGCACAGGTGCCGGGGAGGAAGGCGGGGGATGATGGACACGGACGTCGCCTCAGCCGTGCGGACGATTCGTGCGAGCAGAGAGCGATTTTACAGAAAACAGAGCGGTCTGTGACCCGCCGGTCGGGACAGGGTAGAAAATTCCCTTTCCTGTCATTCAGATTTCATAAACCACCTTAGAAATGTCCAGGACAGAAGAGCAGCTCGTTTTAAAACGTGAGCATCATGTTACCTTCGCTTCCTCATTATGGAAGAAACAAAAAAGACACTGTATCGAGCCCGTACGTAATCAGTATGATCGCACCATTGGCATGATCCTTACAGGCCAGCTCTCCTTTTCCAGTTCCCTCCCTGGCCCGCCACCCTCCGGTGAGCGTGCTCCGCGCGGACAGTCGCTCCTCACGGCTGGGGAAGGCACCCCGAGTTGTTCGTATACAAAATGTTCATCGCGTGTGCCAGGAACTTCGGTATTTGTGTACTTTTCCTCGGGCTTTGTTGATGAATATTCAAGCAAAGAGTCAACCCATAATAGAAATAGCCAGGCCTCGCAAGCGTTTTGGAAACTATTTTGACTTTCAACAAGTCACCTCTGCACTCGGTTCTCCGGAGAATGTCGGTCTGTCCCCTCTGCCTCGGACGGGCTGGGCTGGGAGGCCCGTTGTCTGTCACCGGCTCAGAGGCGTTTTCTTATAAAGCGCTCCTCTGTGGATCTGGTGCTTGGTAAGGTCTCTCGTATTTCACGAGTTTTCATTTCGTGCATTTTATTTAATTTCATCAGTATTTATGGGGTGCCGACTGATTTCTAAGCCACTTTGATGTATTCGTTGACGAGGAGGCCCAGACTCTTCCGCGAAGGATACGCCAGTGACAGAAACGCGCGGACGAGCGTGGAAGGGAGAGGGGCAGAAAGGGAGACGTGGGGAGGAAGGGGGACAAGGGACGTGCCGGCGGCCGCCGTTTTCAGAGACCCAAATATTCCACTTTTTTTTTTTTCATAAAGAGATTCGCTTGCAAATCTGCCACATCCGAAGGCCACATAGAGACTCAGGATGAGAACCCATGAAATCACCATGGCGAACGCATGGCGGAAGGTCTCTGAGCACTTTCTCTTTCTTAAACCCATTTCTTTGAAAGCCCCTCACGAAGTTGTCCCGAGCCCCAGGCCCAGCCGGAGCAGGACAGCCGAGCGTGTGTCCGAGGGAGGGCCGGCCACAGGGAGGGAGAGGAAAAACAGAGCCGCTCGCGTGGCCAACGTTTCGGGAAAACGCAGGATTAATAAGGTGGTAGAATTTATATGTGACGCTGCAAAAGTATTACCATGCTCCATTAAGGACGACCGGCTCGGAGCTCCAGGGCTGTTACGCGACACCGTTTATGGCACAGGCGTTTGGCCGTGAGGGATGCAGAGACAGGCTGTGGACCTTGTGGATCAGAAAAATCTTCGAAAGGCTGTTTGTTAGGTCTGGAAATGGAATACGCTGCCCCCTCCTCGCCGACAGTCGCCGGCCACAGGGAGGGACCGTGCGAGGGGCGGGAGCAGAGCCCGAATGGGCTGGAACACCTGGCGTGTGACGCAGCAGAGCAGGAGAAGCGTTGGCCTTCTGTTTGCTTGTTCACATAAACTTGAGTTTCTTCGTCTAAGCCGCGGAGGAGCTCTGAGTTTCGATCTCTTCTCTCGGTGAAATGAAAATACAGCCAAGACACTGCGAGGGTTGGAAATGGCACCTAAGATAGTGGAGTGCACGCTAAGTAGTTGCTTTTATTTTTAATATACGTAATGTGTGTACTTGGATATTACTATAATAACAATGGAAGGATGGGCTAGAATGGGCTAGTTTCATTCTTTTTCGCAATTTCCACGAGCTCTGGGCCAGCTTGCCCTGGAGCTAGGGAGACTGGACGGCTCCTGGCAAGGTGACTAGAAGAGCTCAGCTATTTGCCTCTATTTGCTGATTACGGATTTAACTATACGTATTAGTTAAGACACGCACACAGACTGCTATGGGCAAAGCAGCCTCGCCGGTCGGTTGAATTCAGATGGAGTCACAGTAGGTTGGCATTAGTTTCAATGATCTCACTTGCAGTTCACAGCTTTTGCTTACAAAATTGTTCATTAATCAACACGTAGAAGTGGGTGTGCTGGTCCAGGACAAGTTACATGTTCATGACGGGAACCTCGGACCTGCCTCCGATCTCCAGGTTTGGGGCGATGACTTGTATCTTCAATCGGGATTAGATTAGGAATTCGAGGTCCCATCAGCAGCGGGAGGGACGAAGATTTGTGTTTCTCTGAAATATGTGATGCTTTTACTTCCAGTGAGGCCCTGTGAGGAGAACCGAGTTCTTTCACAAACGTGGAGAACACGGCTCTGCACGGCCGCCACGCTCCTCAGATGCTCAGAGGCACGTGGGTCGACGCCACGTGAAGAACCCGTGTTTTATTATTTTTAAACATGCGCCATCGTCCCTCCCACAAATGAACCATCTGTCTACTTTGGGAGCTGCCGAAAATAGCATTTGTGTTCAACTCAAAATGACAACTTGTGTGATGGCATATAGATTGAGAGACACGGCAGGTAACGCAAATATTCGAATACGAGAAAATCCGAACAAGCAGGTACATCAGAAAGTTCTAAAAAGTAGCACAATCCCCCAACGGTCTCTTAAGCACAGTCTTCCACGAGGTCCTCACCGAATCACAGTCTAGGGCAAAATTAACACCTAAGGAAGTATTTCTGCTTTCGACTTGGATAATACATCGGCTAGTACAGCAGCGCGGATGAGTTTTTGTGGGTCTGTTAAAATCAGCTAATTGCCTGTTTGTTCTCACATATGCAGATACTCTGAGTTATTTAAGCAAGCCCCTCGATTTAGTCAGTTCTTCACGATGCAAGTGGGTATCTTGGTTCAAGAGGACATGACTTCTAATAAACTAGTAAAATACGCTGTGGCCTTGGAACTTCCCGGCCCTGTCTCGTGCGTTTTGTGGGCTTGTAAACTCCTTCTCCTTCTTTACAGCCCACAGACTAATGGGCTATTGGTAAGTATATTGGACTTTCATGTCTTCGAGTGGGTCATATTAAAATAATAACCACAGACCATTTTCATCTATTAATTCCATTTGATTCTACTCATTCCAGGATCTACACAAAACTCTTTGTGATTTTTTTTTTTTTTAATAAGGAAAGTACAAGTAAAGGAAAAACAAAGACAAGACCCGGGAAGCAGATCGATGGATAAATTACATGGGGGACGAATCGGACACCGAATGAGGCGGTTGTTTTCCTTTCCCGGTGACTCGCCTACAAAATTGTTCGTTAATCAACACATAGAAGTGGGGGTGCTGGTCCAGGACAAGTTACGAGTGTCTGATGTCTGTGGGAGGAGAGCGAAATACGGCACTTGTTGAACCAGGCTGATTCTGTCGTAATAGTAACAACCCCGAAAAGCCGAGAAAGGTTTTTGCTGGTTTGGGGGTTTTTTGGTGTCGTTTGTTTTTTCTGGGTGGGGGAACAGAGCAAAGCTGGTTCGTGGCAACAGGGAGGAATCTCCAAACACGCCCGAGGGGCTCCTGGTCCTCACGGCACGTCAGGGTTTCCGCCCGGGTGACGCACTCGCGTGAACACCTGCCCTCGGGCTCCGCCTGCCACTCCCAGCTGGCATCGCCATCTCTGTTCGTCACTGCGCCTCTGCATTACTCTGCCGGGGCTGCTGTGACAAAGTCCCACGCACCGTGTGGCTCCCAACAGCAGGACTAAGTCCCCTCACGGCTCGAGGGGCCGGAAGTCCACACCCAAGACGCCAGCAGGACAGGTCCTTCTGGAGGCTCCCAGGGCGCGCCCGGGCCGTGCCCCCCGTCCAGCCACCTCGGCGTCCTCCTCGGCTTGGAGCCGCGGTGTTCAAATCGCCGCCGGTGGGATCACGTGGCCTCCTCCCCGTGCGTCTGCTCTGTGTCTCTGCCTCTTCTCGTTCCTGAATGTTGGCTTTGCCCTGGGGTGAGGCCTCGGCCCCCTTTCTCCTCCCCCTGTCCACTCTCCCTCGATTTCGGTCCCCAGCCCGTTGCACGACAAGCACACACAGAGACCCAGAGGCACGCGCAAACCTGTCTCCCTTCCAGGCCTTTCTCCTGGGCCCCACACTTGTCTGTCCAGCGGCTTCGAACAGCCGCAACTGGCTGTCCTCGGGGATGCCGACGGAGGCGTCCTTGGTGACATTCTGAGGGCTTCTCCACAAACTCAGGCTTTACTCGCTGCAAAAGGCCCCCGGCAACTGTGCCTGTCCTTCTAATAACGATTCCGAATTACCGCGTGGCCCGTCTTCGCGCACATAACGCGTTCTTCCTGGTCCCTGTGCTGACTTTTCCTGGTCGATTATGAGATCTGCTCTGCAGATGAGGAAACTCAGGTTCAGAAACTGCCTCGCCCCCTACGCGAAGCTGCTGACATCTTAGGGCGGGACTGGGGTGCAGCTCTGAGCCCCGTCTGGAATGGCACCTGAAATCCCATCTTCCCCACCGGAAGAAGGTTCCAGAACTCAGCTAGCAACCCGAGCAACATGCTACGGGGTTTGCCTCAGCAGCAGCTCGTGAAACGTGGACCGGATCTGTCTGCGGAACGAGCAAAGTGTCCAAAGATGAACGAACGACCTTGGTCGGGTGGCACCATTTACAGAGTCCCTGAGGACAGCTCAGAAAGGTCCTTCTTGCCTTTGTACTGATTCCCAGAGGGACCGTGCGCCCCCACGTCTGTCCTGGCTCACAAATCTATTCCGCTTACGGCTCTCTCCCGGAACATCGTCCCCCCCCCCGCCAGGCACACACACACACGCATGTGCACGCACACACATGCACACACACGTGCGCGCGCGCGCACACACATGCGCACACACACACCCCCGCAGCCCTCTCTGAGCCCATCCCCCCCCCGCCACGCACACACACACACACACACACGTGCACGCACACACACGTGCACACACACGTGCACACACATGTGCACGCGCGCACACACACACCCCCGCAGCCCTCTCTGAGCCCCGCTCTGTGTATCTGGTTCTGTCTGTTCCTATTTCCGACTCCGCTCACGTGAGACATGACTGTTGGGGTGAAGGGGAACCTCGGATTCCTCAGATTTCCAGAAGTTGCCATAAACATGGTTATTTTTCACTGTCTCAAAATGAATAGAATCGAGGTGTGCATTGCACTGTTTTCACAGTCGATCGTGTGTATGCTTTACAGTTTTACGTATTTTATAATTTTCCTCTTGGAAGCTGGAGCAGCACGTACGTCATTCCGAAATACCCTGTGCGTGCCGGCCGGTGGCAGGGCTGTCCCACACGCCAGCCTCTGCCCTGTTTCTACGCCGCGCGTGATACGTAGAAGGTGTTTGACGGATGCTGAATGGAAGGGGGGTGGGTAGTAAAGGTGGCCGGACGAAGCGAGGCGCCCTCCTCTGCTGTGCCCCGCACGTGGCTTGGGCAGCGTGTAAAATCAATCATAATGCACAAGGCAAGCTCGTTTCCTAAAACGAAAGTCTGAAAACTGGGCCTGACAAGCCTGCGTGACCTTGGGTCCACTTGGGGACCAACTATTTGACGCCCGTATTTCTATCTGGCCGCCCCCGCGTGTGACTCAGAAGGCCCCGAGAAAGAATCCGAACGCTTTTCGGTTCCCAGCAGCCATGCTCCTCATGCTTTAGAAGAAAGAGGTCTGATGCTAAAATTTGGAAGCCCTGGCTCGCAGCCAGCGAAGCCAGCGGAGGTCACGGGGGGCGGACCCGATGCCCGCACTTGGCTTCCGCTCTGGCGAAACGGGGCCCTCGGGGCTCCGGGCTCGTCCCCGGATGAAGTCACGGTGGCGTCTGCAGGCTCAGGCGGGCAACGGCTGAGTCTCGCCAGGACGCAGCTGGGCCGGCAGCCGTCCGCCTGCGGCTCTCCCGCTTAATCGAATGAGCACCAGCCGGTGACCCGTGCCGTGGTGGGGAGTCCCAGACACACTGCGGCGGAGCCCGCGCACGGCCCCCTAAGCGGGAGCTGGGTGGTTCGGGGCCAGGGCTTAGAGGGAGAACTTCTCCTGTTGTTCTTGTTATTTCTCAGAGCCCCGACTTCGAAAGCGCAGTTTTTACGTATTATGGAATTAAGATGATGTTTTACAGGACTTATTTTATAAAACGGTTACGTGCCCCGCGCGACCTAGGATTACTAAGAAAATGTTAATAATCGTTTTAATAATATATTTTTATCCTACGTTAATGACAAGCAGTGATAAGGAAGTGGGCCGGGCTCACAGACTGGTTTTCTCTGCCAGTTGTCACCTGTGTCGTCTGGGCCTCCCAGGTGTCTGGTGAGGACGGGAGGGAAGACGGGACCCTGTGTACACGGAACGGTCGTGAGCGGGCATTAGGGAGGAAGAGGGGCGTGCCGCCGGGAGCGGTCCTTGAACCTCGAGCTTCCGCAGACCTCGGATTTTAAAGAGAATAAAGACAGAGGCCGATATCTGTTCTGAGTGAGGTCTATCGAGGCCCCTTCGAGAGGAACAGGCATTAATTAAAAGAGACCCGTTTCGATGGATCTTGAGTCCGTCCATGTACAGTAACTTGCAAAGCAGCTCACGTCTCGCAGGGAGAGAAATTTAGAAACCATCCGCACGCGGCCGCTACCAAGAGACCCAGAAACACAGCACATGAAAACGTGTATCTAGATGACGGATAAAAGTTCACGGTGAGATTTTCCTCTATGCTACTTAATCAGAACGCAGTTATTCAGTTCACAGTCCACACGATATAAGAAACCTTTGACAAAAATCACAAACAAACGCTTCAGAGACCTTATCAGAGAAAAGCAACTATGCGAGATAGAAAAGGCTGAAGGTGTTTAAGGGAAAGGGAGAGACAGCAGACTCGGGAAAAGGAGAATTTTAATACAGTTCAGAGTTTCTTTAAGGTTTTAATGATCACAGAGCGCCAGTGCCTATGGTGGTGGGTAGCGGGGGCATAGCAGCAATTAATATTAGTCTATAACCCCCCAAACTTCCTCTGCTTGCCCCCAAAGTCATGTGCTTAGCTAATGACCCGCTCGGCATTGTGTTTGTCTGAAACTTTCATCTGCCATGCTGTCTGCCGGCTGAAGGCTTACACCTTTGCTCTTAATAAAAGCAAAGAGAGCTACTTAACTCAGCTCCTAACCATCAAAAACGATTGGTTTTACGACCACTTTCAAGTCCCCCTCAGGGCAAGCTACTAGGGGGAAAAAATATATATATATATATATCCACTTTGATGTGTTGTAGGGCTTAATCAGACATCCTAGAGTCGAGAAATGGCAAGAAAAAAAAATCCCAATAAAATGCTTTAAAAAATTGTAAGTCGGTTTGATAGAGTCTGAGTTGCAAGTTTGTAGGGTCGGGGTCTGGAGCTCTGCCAGCATTAAATCAGATCCAGTTGGTGTGGATGGAGGGGTTCCTGGCAGCAAATCCGGACAGAAAACCTCACCAAATAATGTGTTTTCAAGCAAGTGACAGCGAAAATCTGTTCTCTGCCTGTGACCGCTGTGAGCGGTGGGCAGATACGTTATTTAAACACGGAGGTGTGAGAGACTATGTCGTCATTTCCATGTTCTAAAGAATCCAAGGGAAAAAATAAGGAAATTTTTTAACATCTTTTTTTTTTTTAAAATTAGTGACGCTTGCCATTCTAGAAAAAAAAAATCACCAAAAAAATAATGAATAATGTACACCTCACCTTACGTGTTTTAAAATCTAGCTGGAAATTCCACGTATATTGAAAAATATGTATCATTCCTTCTCCGCCCCTGTTAAATTTCAGGAAAAGTCAAGCGAATAAAACAGGCTAAGGATGAGGCGATGGCGGAGGCCGACCAGTACAGGATGCTCAGAGACAAGCAGTTCCAGCTGACACAGTCCAAGGTAAGCGAGACGGTCAGCACCGGTGTTCACGCGATGCGGGCCGCCAAAGGTGAACGTTCACACGGCGGGACGCGGAACACACACTGGACTGAGCAGATACGGTGCGGCCAAGGCTGAATATCACACTGAGTATTAAACATGACCGAATTGCTGATTTTTCACTTTCGGTTTCAAGGCTTTTGGATCTGTCCCCAAGTATCAATCAACAGTCATTATCGCATACACGGGATATATGAAAAATCTTATTTTCAGATACACAAGTTGAAGAGATCAGTGAAAGTATTATTCCTATCACAGGCCATTGACTAACATATTTTAGCAAGAAAAAACTTCAGAACATGTATCTTTTGTCTGTGAATGTTAGCAGCAGAATCAACAAAAAGTGTCACACAGTGTCACAGAGTGAGTTTGTTGGGCCGAATTTCCTTTGGTGAATTCAGGATTTACAAACGATCGAAGGAGACAGTGTTGCAAATTGCTGGAAAGTCTTCTGGTGTTCCCTTTTCAGCTGGGATGGGTCGTGCAACAAATCTTTCATAAAAGTATTAAAAAATGCTTTTTCTTTCACGAGCATTTACAAAATACCTGCAGTTGACAGTAAAAAATACAGGCACGAAAGTTTCAGAGCCGACACCTTCTTTTCATGTTGCGACATGGTCTAAAAGAAATTATTAAATGTCATGCGCTATTCTAAAGTTGATGCGAATATTTGCTTTTGGCCTCAGATAAAGCCCCGTCTGGAAGGCTGACATTGCAGTTGGAAAACCTCTCTGTTTACAGCTTCAGTTTTTAAAGGGGAAGGTGTGGAGCTTGTGTCAGGTTAGGTGACCCGGATCCCAGGGCAGGAAAACCTCTTCTCCTGGGCTGTTCCTTAAGAGAAAAAGTCCTTCTAGAATAAGCGAACCACTCTGCAAGAACAAATGCTTCTTACCAATATTTGGAAAGAGGAATCATGAAATGCCGCGTCCACCTGTGCGTTTACAGCCCGCCGTGCTCAGCTCTGGTTCTCTCTCTAAGCTGTCGGCTCCGGAAATTTCAGGCGCTTACCCTTTAGTATAAACGGAAGATATTTTTTTAAATGCGAGTGTAGGAGAAAGCACGTCTTTATACTTTCCTGAAAGATTTATTGGATGAAGCCAGACAGTCGAAAAGGAAATCATAAGGAACAGCAGTAGACGTCTCAGCAACCGGCGACAACAGCAACTTTCGTCGTTGGTGATGTTTTCTACGGCCCATGTCATTGCTTGTTCTCTGCTAATCATATCTGTCTCCCTGCTCCTCAGACCACCCAAACATGCCGCCAACACAGGGCCCGAACATGCCATCACCACAGGGCCCGAACATGCCATCACCACAGGGCCCGAACATGCCACCACCACAGGGCCCGAACATGCCACCACCACAGGGCCCGAACATGCCACCACCACAGGGCCTTTGCATATGCTACGCACGCTCGCTGGAATCCTTGCTTTAGACACGTCCATCTTTCCTTCATCCGTTAGGTCCTCTTCCCCGCTACCTTCCCTAAAATTGTGTCTCTCATAAAAAACGAATTCCTCCAACACAGTGACAGCGTTTCCCACGGCCGGATATATCACATATTTACATTTTTAGCTTATTGCCCATTTTTCCTTCTGAATCGTAAGCACCAAAATGGCAGCTCCTTTGTCTGCCTTATTCTCTGTTGTTTTCCTCAATATTGCAATATAGTATCTGTCTGTCGTCAATATACAATCAATATTCATTCAAAGAACGAATAGACATTGCTTGTGCCTTTATCTTTCCTGATAAGTCCTGTCGTAACCATGACTATCGGGAGCTGAGAAAACACTCATTCTTCCCACCAACCAGCTCTTATTATCCTGGTCGGATGATTCTAATACATGTATTACTTTTTTCCAAGTAATAACAAAACCGACCATCATTTTAGAAAGCGGCTGGGTGAGATCTCAAATGGCGTTTCTCCAGAAGAACCTCAAGATGCAAATCTGGTTCAAGACATTTGTTCTCTGCTTCGGAGAGGAATCAAAACGCCACATTGCTCTTCTAATTAGAGCTCTAAGCCAATTTTACAGTGAGCCGATCAAAAGCACACATAGCAAGGTCAACGTGCTCCGGCCTCAGCCTGTTGTGACACCATTAACAACGATCTTTCCTGCCCGTGACCTCCACACGCCGACACAGCGCCATTCCAGCCAGATCTCGCCATTGTTAACCCAGGGCGAGTGGGAGCTCTGGGAGCAGACCCCGGAAGGTGGTTTTCTGCCTGCTGTAGGTGTGCGTGCACCTCAGTGTTAACTTTCCTTGTTGCTTTTTAGCTGTTGTACGTGCATGTGGGTTTGGTTTGGGTTTGGTTTGGTTTTTTGAGTCCTCTGACTTATCAACAGAATCAGATATCCCACTGCGGGTTGTATATCGACAAATATTATTAGATCAGAGATTTAATTTTCCCTTACCATTTCTACCCAACCTCACATCTACTGAAGAAGATGCTGCATTGCTAAAAAGAAATCTGGACTACGATGGGAAATTAAATCTCTCCTGAATGCAATGAACGTGACCGTGGACCATGAATCTGAACAGAAGACCAGAAAGTGGTCGAGCGCCTTGGGCATATTAAAGATTTTTGTATCTTTAATCTTTCTTCCTGAATTCATATCATCAGAGCATTTCGTTTCCTTGAAGCAACCACAGGTTGAGAATGCAAAACAGTGTATGGCATCGGAACCTCTGTTTTCTCTTAAACAGGACCTTTCAGACAACTTACAAAGAAACTTATCGGGTGTTGAAAGATTTCCCCAACACTATCGGTCATTGTGCTGTAAAGCTAGACACGTCGGTCTCGACACTGAAATTTTGAAAATTAACATGGAAAAGTCCTCTCGTGGCACCCTTGACCCAAACGTACCATTACAGTCACATAATTGTCAGTTTCTAATTGATGTAGAGTCCCAAAATATTCAGGCAGCAGGCTTCTGCCACTAAGAGCAACAGAACACAGGTCACAAGTTTTCCGTCACACCTGGAGATCTGCTCATCCGGTGCCATTAGACAAATCTGTATTGAGCATCTATTAAGTGCCAGGTGGTGTTTGAGGCACTTATAATTCATCAGTGCACAAGGTGACACTTATCCCTGACTTTATAGAGCTGGCATTCATTCACTTAAACTCCTACATGGCTTAAAAAAGATACATTTGTGCATGTAAAAGTATCTTACTGGGCATATTGTAGATGTATCTTCCTGAAAAACAAGATCTAATCAGTTCAGATAATTTTTTTAAAAAACTGACGAACCAGTATTTGCCCTTTAAAACCAGCAAAAATGAGTTCAATGATGTCTTTCAACTCTATCTTCCAGACTTTCAATTCAGAAAGAAAGCCATAGGGAAGATGTAAAAACTGAATGAGAATGGTTATAAATACATGAAAATATGATATTAAAAAAAAACTTCTATGCATAGCATAATAATAGTGAAATTGCATTCAGTTTGTACTGTGTGGAGGTCATCTGAAGGACAAGCGACCTGCTATGGACAGCTTCCATGTTTTTAGGAAACTTTATCCATCCCACTTATAACGTTGGGGATCTTATCCATTCTCTGAAAAATTCTGGAAAAATAAAACATAATGTGCACGCTATAGAACAACCACGGATACATAGGCTAAATTGAGCTGATAAAACAAAGTTTAATGTGATGTATAGTGCAGTGAACTCTGTTTCATTTTCATAGATAATGGGCTCTCAGAGTCATCTCTCCGATGAAATAGACAAGCAGACGCTGGAGAAGATAAAAGAATTGAACGGAAGCTACAATGCGTGCGTGGAAAGTGTATTAACACAAGTTTTGAACATGGTCTGTGACGTGAAACCGGAAATCCACGTCAACTTCAGAGCCACCAATTAAGCATGTTCCCTCTCGTTCGGTAAAGTGTGTATGCATGTCACCTGGCTGCTTTTGGCTTTGTGTTCACATTAACAAATTTGAAAGGTGAATCTTAAACTTACTCGACACCGACACATTTCAATGTGACATAATTCGCCCATCTGCATTGAATTTAAAAGTAAACAAAGCGTTGTCACCTCTTCCCGGTAACAGGTAATGACCTTGTCATTTAATTTGCAGTGAGTCGAGATGGAAGAGTAACTATTTTTTGACACTTGACAAAAACATGGACTCGACTCCTTTTTGTGGGTGGGGTTTTTTTAAAATTTCTTCTTTTTTATCGAGTTAGAAAATGAGTTCTTAATTGCAGTTGTTAAAAGATGCTTTTAGAGGAAGATATAATTGTGACTCCCACATAGACAAAAGGGAACAGATGTCAAGGATTTTATTCAACTCGCTCATCAATGACGTCACTTGTAAGATGTTACCACTAACTCAAGTAAGCATGCTGAGAACTGCACAGACAGAGGAGAAGTCGGATGGAGGGATGATGGATGGAGGGATGATGGATGGAGGGATGATGGATGGAGGGATGATGGATGGAGGGATGATGGATGGAGGGATGATGGATGGAGGGATGATGGATGGAGGGATGATGGATGGAGGGATGATGGATGGAGGGATGATGGATGGAGGGATGATGGATGGAGGGATGATGGATGGAGGGATGATGGATGGAGGGATGATGGATGGAGGGATGATGGATGGAGGGATGATGGATGGAGGGATGATGGATGGAGGGATGATGGATGGAGGGATGATGGATGGAGGGATGATGGATGGAGGGATGATGGATGGAGGGATGATGGATGGAGGGATGATGGATGGAGGGATGATGGATGGAGGGATGATGGATGGAGGGATGATGGATGGAGGGATGATGGATGGAGGGATGATGGATGGAGGGATGATGGATGGAGGGATGATGGATGGAGGGATGATGGATGGAGGGATGATGGATGGAGGGATGATGGATGGAGGGATGATGGATGGAGGGATGATGGATGGAGGGATGATTAACTTCAACTAACCAGATATTCTTCTCTTTCAAGTATAATTTTAAAAGAAAAATAAATGATAACCTGATGTTTAGGCTTAAAAAAAAAAAACCCTCAGGAGGCATAGTAGGTTGTGTTATGATCTCCAAATTCAGCCGTTGAGACCTACCCCCCAAGGTGATGGTATCTGAGGCGATCATGGTATTTGGGGCCCTCGTGGGTGTGACTGGTGCCCACACAGCGGGAGGCTGGAGAGCCTGCTCTCTCTCTCCCTTCCACTCAAGGGCACAAGGCGAAGGCAGCCGTCTGCGACCCAGAAGGGCCCTCGCCAGAACCCGACCCCACCTGCTCTCTGACCTTGGACTTCCAGCCTCCAGGACTATGAAAAACAAACACGTGCTGTTTACAAGGCCCCCAGTCTGTGGTGCTAGGTTATAGCAGCCCTCGAACTAAGACAGCATGTCATGAACCCAGTCGCCTAGACAGCCATAGGTACTTGAAGTGAAATGTAGGAATGATCTCGATCCCATCGTGGCGGGCAGTTATGGGCGTCCCATCTACAAAACGGGGAACGGATCAAGGACCTTGCCGGCTGCTGCTTGGGTGACAGGGGTGGCACCGAGCCTCCGACCCGGCGAGAGGACCCCGGCGTCCCCACTCTTTGACCCCCACCCCTCTTCATTACTCACATGCTGCCCCCCTGAAAACCCTCTATGTTTACACCACCAAGGATCCCGGGTCCTCTGATTTTCCAATAATATATGCAGACAAATCTTAACTCTGGTCTAAACAAAATTTAAGTCATAAATTGTAACTGTTACCAAACCATTCGGACCCCGTTTCCGAATAGAAACCGGAAGGATTCTGCTCATTCGTGGTCTGCGCTGCCTGGGTGCGGGTCGCTTGCTTTTCCCCCGGAACAACCGAAGAGAAAACGTTTGCCACATGCTTTAAAAGCTCAGAAATTTTCCATTCTGTATTCCCATTGGGGAAACGTTTCCCTCTGTTTCCCATTTTGGGGCAAGAAACCCAAACAGGTTGGTTTATCGGTTTTGTGCGATAGGTTTCTCCATTTACCAGAAAGGCAGTTAGACTCCCCGATTAATGGCCAGAAGAGTTTTCTAGAAACACCGTCCCCAAACTTTCCTTTTTTGGTTGGGGGTGGGGCTGAGGCATCCAGTAAACGTCCTCCTGAAAACGAGGACAGCCTGCAGGACGTCCCCCTCGACACGGACTTGGGGACCCCACGACCCGAACCCACAGAGCTGAGAGACGCAAAGCAAGGAGAAAAACAGCTCATTTCAAAAGTTATCACGTGAAAAGGGAATTGTAAAAAAACACGGGCTGGTGATGGACCTCGAACACCTCGTGAGAAACACCTTAAATATTTCACCTCACGGAAACCATCAAGATGTCACTATTCCGGATGTAAAAAGGTAGAGTATATTGTCTGAAACGCCCAGGATAATAATAAATTCCTGAGCCTGCACAGGAGTCAGGACGATTTCTTAAGCTTTGAACATCATAGAGACAGTCGCTAGCATCAGTACAGGGCTTTCTCGGCGGTAAACTGGCCACCACGCCCGGAAGACAGTGACGAAAGCAGAGTGTGTCTGGTCCCAGCTCTGCCCCAAGTTCTCTACTCACTCACTCTCCCTGGGCTTCAGGTTCTTTTTAAATGTTTTAATAGACAAAAGGATGTCGAATTAAATGATTTCTACAGGCCCTTCCCCATCTAATTCTATGCACGACATCAGACCTATTTCAAAGAGCAGCGTTCGCTCCTACAGCCGCCTCCCCTACTTCGGTAGCGTGGGATAATTTTTCCAGTGATTCTACTTCTAAATGCGGCAGGAGTTTGTGCCCGTCCCCAGCAGCCTAGATTTTCTGTAACTCACACAGTTTTACATTCAGATCTGGTTTCATATCTTTGTCCAACTGTATTAACCGAATTAGTCATTTTCCAAGAGCCCTCACGCTCTCCTGGATGGCAGAGCTGCCAGGGTTTAGTTTATTGACACAGGAAAAAGGTTTTACATGTTTCAGAGATAACTCACTTATCTTATGAGAGCTTTCTCGGTCACCAAAAAAGAAAAGTTCACGTTTTTTACACACACACTTCTCCTCAAACGCCTTTTCTGTTCGTACGGTCTTCACACAGACACGGAATAAGCTGGGGTGTTTTGGATCCCCCCTCATTCTTGTTCTGAGCCTTTGCACGATCAGAAACTCTAAAATGAACAAGGATTCCGTGAAGTTCTCACTCGTTTCCATGGCAAACGAAAACACGACCATGCGGCTTACAGAAATATAGAGGGACGAGCGGATTCCAGGTTTGATGTTTTTCTCCTATCAGCACCCAAACACACACACGGTCAGGGAGTCACACTACGCCACCACTGGCACCTCCCGGGTGGGCCGAGCTGGCAGAAGCAGCGAAATGTACTTGCGCAGTCAGTGCGCATAGACCGCGATGAAATGGCCTCGTTTTTTAGGCACACGGTTCATTATCGGTTACGTAGGATCCCAGGGAGCAGAAGTTTACCAGAGCCTGTCCTCTGACGCCAGCGTTTCCACCGAAAAAGCAGCTACAACTTCTCACGCGTTATCATTGTTATCAATGTGTGATCGATAACTAGGGACACGTGTGTCCCGCAGACAAAGCGCGAAGCCGTTTAAGCAGCGCTCACGGTGAACGCGAGAGCCTTGCCATGCTCCAGACCCGCCTGCTCGCCACTTCACAGTTTGTAGCCGCAGTTCAGAAAAGCGTTTTCTAAGTGAAAATGTAAACACGTCCAAACCCCCGGCACCGATGTCATGCGCATTTCAGCCACCACGAGGAGCGCGTTCCCCACGGCGACGCCACAGGACTCGGGGGTTTGAAAGAGCTGTGATTTTCGTTGATTAAAACTTGGACTCGACTTGGGTCAAAACTCTTTGCGAAGGGACTTTCGACATTGCCTGTGGCCACACAGACAGGAAAGAGAAACCGCCAGGTGGCAGACGTGAGCCACCGCCCCCCACTCTCCGCCCCGGCCAGGGAGTTAGTAGATGCACCTGTCACGCCGAGCCAGGGTCACGCTCGAGTGACAGTGGCAGCCGCGTTTAGCGGGGCGTTCGCGAGGGGACGCACGGAGGTGGGTGCCACGACAACGTGCCATTCCCTTTGCCTACGGGGTCTCTGTGCCTTCTCTGTCCGGCAGACCCTACTGGTTTTGCCAGGCAGAGCAGCCAGCTCGGTCTGATTTGTGACGTCTTGCCCGACCGCCCCAAAACTAAACAAACAAACAAACAAACAAACAAACGGTAAAATAGACTTGGGCCATATATAACATTATCCTGCACTGTCCTCACCAGAACTTAATTTCAGAAGTCTCTTCTTTATGTTGCTAGAATATTTTATAAATCCATTCATTTGACAAATTAGTACCTAGCAGATACTGTGAGTGAGGCTCTGTGTCAACCTCCAGGTGACACAGATTGGAACGGCTTCCAGGATCTACCAACGGGGTCCAAAATGACATAAACATGACACAGGTGAAGGTGTGCAGAACGAAGGGTGGTTTTGGGTCTGGCACCGTGCATGTTTAGAAAGGCTGGGAGGCGGACCTTTTCAGGAAAGCAGGAAAACGCCATTTAAGATAACTCCCGCTTTTTGCTCCGGAGGCATACAGAAATCATGACTTCATTAGCCCATTCTGAACTGCAAGTTCTTTCTGGGTAACGCTGGTGGTTGGCACTCACTCGGCAGCAGCTCACTCTGCCCGCACAGCCAAGGATTCCGGCATCTGCCATCGACGCAGATTTGCACAGTGCTGGGGACCCAGGCTCCGGGCGGGAGGGCCAACCACAGTGTGGACAGACCTTGCTTTGAGCCACAAAACGCAACAGCTCAGTCAGATGCAGACTTTCGACGATGAGAAAAAGTCAACCCAGCCCGACAAACATGTTTTTCTAACTGACAAACGTTCTCTTCCTCTGGCTGCCGGCCCCTTTCAGACGT